GTAACTGGTTGCGTAGTAGTAGTGGTAATCGGATTGATCGCGAGTCGAAGGCGACACGCGAAGCGTCTCCCCGACTGAACTTTATTATATCAACACCGGGAGAATTTTATTGCCGGCCACGTTTCCACGGTTAGACTGGAATCAGCTGCAGTTTGGCGATTTCGATTTGCATTGCACCACGTGAGATCGCGTGCCGTGCATTTTCTGATCACCACGTGTACTTATTTCACCTTACGCCGTTCAATTTTTTTTCCTTTTTTTTTTTTCTTGCCCCAAGAGGTTGCCGCTTTCTTCATCCATTCCGTCGTCGTCGTCGACGGAAGGAAATTGCGGATAATCATCTCGGCCCGTTCCTCGGACGTTTATACAAAATCGAATTCTTTCTAATCCTCGTGCCCCTTTTTTCCCTTTCTCTTTCCCTCTTTTCGTCTTGTACACGTGTAGTAACAGTTTCCTTTCCACCCAGTTGATTGCATGTCAACTTACGTACGTACGAGAACGATGTATCGTGATTAACTAAATCTGCGAAATCTGTTTTCACTGATTTCTTTTTGAGTTTTTCGTTTTCTTACTTTTCAATATCTATCGTATGCGTTTTCGTTTTTCGCAAGATTATATACAGTTCTCTGTGAAATCGATAAAGAGTCGGTATAATAACCGAGTTGCTATTATTAGTGATAAACATGAAAGAAACAAACGCGCGCATTACTTTTCGTATCTACGAGCGTGTAACCAGGGTAGAGAACGATTTAACTTTAATAAAAGGCTCGAGAACTTTCCTCTTTTCATTGATTGGAATAAAAGATTCGTTCGAGGAACGGGTTCTCGACGTTTAGTAGATGGAAAGGAGCGTCTCGGGCTGGCTGGTGCGTTGACAATTTTTCCCAACTCGTCTTCGTTTTATCAATCTTGTTTTATCGGTTATTCGCGAGGATGAGAATCGAAGGAAGATTGAAAGATGTATCGGTAAGATTTGCAATAGTAAGCAAAATGCTGAGAAGGAGCGGATGTCAGCAAGGCTGAGCGTCTATATGTTCTCTTGAATTCGCATATCCTACTTTTGCCGAGCTTGTCTTATCTTCGTCATCTCGACAAGTTTCCAGTTGCACTTTCAAAGTGCATACCACTTAGAAAATCTATCGTTGTGTGCATTGTGTTAGAGATAAAATAGAGAATAGAGAATAAGCGAATTCTTTTTCTTTTCTCTTTTTTCTCTAAATCGAACGGTTTGGTTTCTTGTTATCAGGAGATTGCTGCCATCTTGATCAGTTTCCAAAGACACGCGGAATGGCAAAGTCGGGAGGTGAAGGTACGACCTCGAAGTGGTTCGATGTTACTGTACTCGAGAAAGAAAGTCCGTTACCGGCGGGACGGTTATTGCTGGAAGAAACGGAAAGATGGTAAAACTACACGAGAGGATCACATGAAACTGAAGGTAGTTTTTCATTTTCATGGGAAATGAAAGAAGAGGAAGGGCGAGAAGTAATTAACGATATTCGTTTTTTTCGAACTTGTCCAGGTGCAGGGAGTCGAGTGCATCTACGGCTGTTACGTGCACTCGGCGATCCTTCCGACGTTTCATCGGCGATGTTATTGGCTACTACAGAATCCAGACGTCGTCCTCGTTCACTACTTAAACGTTCCTTACCCGGACGGTGATGCAAAGCTAGCGGCGCTGCCACCGTGTCTCGCACTGCCGCCAGACAAGAAGGAGTGGACGCGTGACGAGCTGGCTTCTCAGCTTAGACCTATGTTCCTCGGTGGAGACGACGATCCGAACAATCCTCACCTTACTCAACACTCGAATCATCCCGTCGATATGATAGTTTCTCAACTGTTGGACAGACAGAGAGCATCTTCCACTTCCTCTACCACCAGCACTCAGCTTGCACCTAGGAGATTAACGCCGGACAATCAGGTATTATTATTTATTTATTGATCTTTGATCTTTGATCTTTGCCAAGATATAATAATACTCGTTTTACCTTTGATCCTCGTCTCGGTTTCTTGATCAGGTTTCTTCGACTACCGGAGGTCAGCAATCGTCGACATCAGCCTCACCGGCTCCTCGCGTATACTCAAGACATTCCCACACGACTCAAAGCCAACAACCGGCTCCTTTAGTTTTAAGTTTGCAACAGATTCAAGGTGGTGGCGGTCTTCTGATACTGAACAGCCAACCGTATCACCATCAACAACAGCAGCAGCAGCAGCAGCAGCAACAACAGCAGCAGCAGCAGNNGCAGCAACAACAACAGCAGCAGCAGCAGCAACAACAGCAACAGCAACAAAGCCAACAAGTGGAAATGCAACAGGTTCCGGAGCAGCAAATCGTACAGCAGACGAGCGTGGACAGAGAGCAACAGACCCAGCAGGAAATAGAAGCCCAGGAAAGTATGGATCGTAGCACGGTGCAATCGTTGCCGATCGGTGGCGCCGGCCCCGA